GTCTCGCAAGACAGTCCCCTAGGTATATCCTTGTTGGGAAATCGGCCTCGATGCAGCGATTCAGAATGCAGCCTCTATCATCCCAACTCAATGCGGTGGAACTTACTTTATGGGTTCATCCCCTGTGGAACCTCATGGACTTGTTGAAGTGCGAAAGATACGCTCGATGTCAACTTTGAGTAACCGTGAGCAAGTGCTGACGCGTTTAGAGGCAAATCGATGTGCTGTGTAACATGCTTCATACAGGAATTTCCAGTCTCAAAGCGCGACTAACATTTGTTACAGCTTGGGGTGTCGCCTCCAACTTTACACGAACCTAAGAGTGTGTATGTGCAAGTGTAAGATCCAGGATACCTGCCGTCCAAGATGGCTCTACGCCACGTGTACCTGTCGCGCTGGTTCCTTCGTAGCCCGTGGGTCCTCCAGCGCGGTTGTTACTGTCGTGTCCCTGAACCGACTGTGCCGAAGGACCCCCGCCGGTGGTAGTAGTATCTTGGTTGGGCCCGTGGTGCTGAGGAAGAAAGCTTCCGTCCATGACATTCCCGTGGTTGGGGAAAAAGCTCTGGTTCAATGCGCCACATGTGGTGCATGTAAATTCTATCTTAAAGTTCGTTAGGATTGCCTGCGGTGTTGTAGGATGGCCGTTACTCGAAGGCTGGGTCTGCATTTTGGGCTGTCCGAGCTCTGGAACAGACGGTTGGCCGGGGCTGGCTACACCATAGTCAGTTCGGTGATGGATGCCGTGGCTGATACTGGTTTGATCCTGAGATTGAGCCTCGGGTGGTTGGTGTAATTGGCGCAGGTGCGGCACTTGATGGGTAAGGTGGATTTGAAGGGGTGGTTGTACGGGTCGACTGTGAAGATGGGACATCGAGAGTGAGTTGCGATGGGCTTCGCCCTGGTGCATGCTATCAATGAGAGCCGATGGGATGTTGTCCGAAATCCAGCGTTGGCTGGAAAGACTGCCAAATGCCGAGTTACTCGCCTGCGCCTCCATCTGAGATGGCGGGCTGTCTGGTTGATCTTCACCACTGGAGTCATGCGTATTGGTCTCTTCGCTCTGATTCTGGACTTCTTTCTGTTGTAGGCGAATAAGAGCTCGTTGCGCTTGTCGCATGGATATGTCGTATCCATGATACCGTTTGATAGCGTCGACAACATCTTGGGCCTTGACTTTACGGCTCATGTCAAAAAGCTTGGGGATCTCCGAAAGGAGGAAGCGGACATGCGAAGCCTCCGAGCGAGCCGGTGTTCTCGATGTGGGGGTCGCATTGCGTCGACAGTTATGACTGTCTTGGAGACTGCTAATGTAGGTCGCGTTTTTGTTTGCACGACAGACGACTCGAAAGAAACAATTGTTTGAAGAGCGACAGCCTATTACCACGCTCTTCTTGTTGCTTCTTGTGACGCGGAGCTCCCAATGTTGCCTCACGGAGATGGTCCGTACCAGTGCCTTGAACTCTTCTAGCGAGCCGAACCGCTGGCCCACGTGGAGCCCCGAGTACATCTCCGCCATCACGATGGCGCGTGTACACGAAAGAGTGCAATGAAGATTATAGGTTATGATGTCTGATTGGGAGGGTCCATCCGCAAGACTTCGACTGCCTCAGGCTCTTAGCACAATAGTGTGTAATCTGGCGCTAGTTGATTCGGCATCATTCGCGCGTATTGCGGCAGTTTTCTCCCAGCTTTTTTTGTTTTCCTATCGGGGGCCGGAGGTAAGTTTAGATTAAATAAATAGATAGATGGATAGATAGATAGGTTTTATTTGGGAGACCGTTAAGAAAGATCATGCACACAGGCAGCAGCCTGGGTAGAGAGATTATCAGGAGCCCTCGACGGGCCTGTAATCAAAAGCAAGTAGTAGAGTCAAAATCATGGGGAGTGTCAAATCAACCAGGGGGTTGGAAAGATAATACGGAGTACGGAGTACTAGGGAATTGTTTCAATTGCACTTACTCGGAGTACAGTAACTTACTCCTGTCACTTGGCCCCAGAAGAGCCCAGAAGAGGTGGAGGTGACAACGCAATACCAGATCGGGGTTAGCTTGCTGCTTTGGTCTTGGCATTGAGGTACCGTGGACATTAAGTCATTGAGTACTCCGTACAATTCATCATAATTGAAGTACTGTACTGTACTGTACCTGTTTCATATGGGAGGTTCGACTAGCTTCAATTATAAGACCATCTCTCTTCCCCTGCTTGAATTGACAACTGTCTTGTTAGCATAGGCCGTGGCAATCGGTGATTTACACACTCTGTCCAGCTATGCAAGCCTCTGTGTACGCACGCGATCTGACTACATTGTTTTCTCTAGTGCCCAACTAACATGCTTTGACTACCAGTAGTCAATCTATCTAGGTCGGATCAATACCAGAGCTATACGCTTAAGGAACCACAGGCGCTGTGCCTTGACTGTCGCTATCAATATCATTCCGGGCGATCTAAGAATCATAATACTACTCGTCCGAGCATAAATGGTACCGATGCCTAAGCGACTCCTAGGTCTCGGCAGAGCGTGCATGAAACTGTATTCACAGGCTTCACAAACGAGCGGCACAGTATTTCGGCACAGTTTCTTAGAGACCTCTATGGACAGCATACCGGAGACAGTGACTAGGCGAGGCACCTAGATTTGATATCAATGCACTAACAACCATGAGTTAGATTGCAGATATCCCGGGTAGCATGGTATTGTGCCCGAGCCTCAACTCAGTCCCTGTTCATCGGCGGGAATGCTCTTGCACAGCACCCGAGAAAGGTCAGACGAGCATAAGCGTGCCTGCCAATCCTCCTACGTGCACGAGGAAAGTCATTTCTGGCCGTGATTACGTTGTGAGCCATAGATTCCGCTACCTTTCGAGTTCGAAACTAGGCTCTTCCTCGTGACCCGGCAAGACAACGGGCTGTACTTGCAAGAACCCGCTTGCAGTCCGAATAGATCATCCATCACAAGAGGCCGGCCACGAGTCCCTCGATCTAAACGAGTAAAAGGATGATAGGGTCACAGATGTATCACCCAGCCCGCTATATACCTGACAACCATTCCTGTGCTCGGGGGCAAACTGCAGAGTAGTTCAAGATGACTGTCACTGCCCTCCTGTAGCGCTTACAAGATCAAGCATTATTGCCCTGTATGAACAGTAGAATGTGGAACTTCGTCTCTGGACATGCATTTGCAAGTACTGTACGCTGGAACCCGCAATGGGCTGTGGTGATTTAAGCTCAATAAAGTGGAGCTTGGCGCCATGGCCATCCGTTCCGACAGCGTCCGAGCTGTCCTTCCAAGGCAAGGCAATTACATGAGTAGATAGTACTTTGTAGAAGCCTGTCGAGCATCACATCAGTTTTCGCCATTCTTCTTTGAGATGCGCTGCTGTATACAGAAGATGACCAGGTACGGACTTAACTCCCATGTCTGGCATACAGCTAACTCTTCCCACACTCTGGAAAGACTATGATGCTCCATCAGAGAGCACTTTGACAACAGCTCGGGAGTATTCAATGTGAGTTCAAGCTGTAATGCGAGCCAGCTAGAATGCTAGAGGAGGGTGAATTCTAGTTAAGTGTATCCAGATCTATCCGAGGTTGCATGCGTAGCAGTAAAAACAGCGGAAAGCAAACAGGCCAGCTCGATGGAAGAGCAGAAAGTTGGTTTTCCGCCTAGCGCGCGGATCCCTGCCGACCGCTTCACTCACTCACTCACTCACTCACTTTATGCCGCCGCATCGGCTTTTTCCCCGAAACCTCAGCGAACCGCTCAACAATACTGAGCTAAAATTCGCATTTCCTTTGCGGCTTTCCTACACAATGGCATCCTATGCATCTTATGGGCTACTCGATCAGCTAGAAGAAGGTAAATTCAGATCGATTTCCCTCCTCAATCCACCAAACTCTCAACCACCGACACTCCCCGCTAATTCATGCAGATGGACTCCACAAGTCGCGCCTTCTCAATGTCGAAGAAAAGCCCTTCAAGCGGATCTCGAAACGTCTCCTGAACAACGATTCGGTCCTCGTCGCGAACACCACACTTCCCCCGACTCCGCCGCCGGATGGAATGGACGACGATGCTGCGGCGGCGGATGCTGCGGCGGCGGCGGAGGCCGAGAAGCAAAAGCGGCAGGAGCACTGGAGCCATTTCCGCGAGGACGTCGCCTTGGATTTCGCCGCCTTTGAAATCAGCATCGCGCGCATCCAGTTCCTCCTCACGAGCAACGAGAAGGAACGCGAGCGGTACGCGACCGAGAAGCTGGGCATCCTGGACACCATGCAATCCGTCCGCGACAACACCTCCGAGCTGCGGGTTCAGCTCGAGGAGGCCCAACGGCTGCTGGCGCTGCGGAAAAGCTACGACGAATTGGCGGACAAGATCACGAGCAACCGGCTCCTGAAACCACGCGAGGACCAACAGGCCAACCTACAGAAGCTGCAGGCCGAGATCACCGATCTAGAGAAGGAAAGCAAGGAATACGCGCAGACGTGGGCGGAGCGCCGGGAGCAGTTCGGGCGCATCGTTGAGGAAGGCATGCAGCTGCGTCGCTTGATTCGCGACGAGAAGGAGGAAGTGGAGCGCAGGGAGGGAATGCAGGAAGGTGAGGATGGCGATGATGGCGACGTACCCTCCAAGGGTAAATCGAGCGGGGCCAATACGCCTCGTCACGACTCGGAGAGCCTGGCTTCATCGCATCAGAGCCCCGAGGAGCTCGGTCGTCTGTCAGCTGGGTTGCAGGTGGATAGATCAGCCACGACCGGTGCGGCGTCACCCTTGCGGCAAGTGACGGTTCCGGGCGACGAGGAGAAACGCTCGCCTGATCTGGACAACACGATGGAGGACGAGGGCGAGGTACAAGAAGAATTGGAAGAGGGAGAAGAGCAGGACGATCGGACAGATAGAATGGATACTACTTGATGATCGGAAGCTCTTATAAGCTAGCATTAAGCGCGGAGTTAATTGGCGGCGTTTGAATTCATGGCGGCTGTTATTTACAGCAATTCTGGTTTTTTTTTTCCCATGTTGTACTTTTACAATAATTGCATAGACAGAACTAGTGAACGTGGATTTACGAGATCTCTCGCTCTGCTGTTCTGGCTTGGGAGATAGCCTCCTTGGCAGCATTGATCTGCTCGACATTGCTCTCGGCGCCCTTCTTGCCCTCCTCGATCTGCAAAAAGCTAGTTAGTCTTGTAGAATCAATCGAAACATGAGAGAGCAGCGTACCAGCAACTGATCAAGCTTAGCGATCGCATCCACAATCTTCTGCTTCAGGGTCGGAAGGACCTTCCTAGTCTCCTCGAGGGCAAGGCGCTGTCGTACGAGGACTGTCAGTGGCAGCACTGGCGTAGGGATTTGTTGGCGGTACAGACCTCCTGCTTCAGAGTCCACTCCTTGTTCTCATCGTCCCCACCCTCGCCGGATTCGAGTTTCTTGATTCTCTCCATTTGCTGCTGTAGCTCGCGGTGATAGGACGCTTCTTCCTTGATCAAGCGCTGGACAGATGCCGTAGCAATCTCTAGTTGAGAGCGGGGTGCCATTGCGACCAGAGATCTATGTAGATATTAGAGATGAATATTGTCACACTACTAATGCTAGCATGTTGCAGAGGCCATGACCCTTTTCAGCGTGTTCACTGAAGCTCGGGGAGATGGCGAGCAGTGCACTAGAGAACTCGATGCATTTGTAAAGTGGAGAGCTCTGAACAAGCTCAAGTTTTGGAATGCTCTCAGAACACCTTTGGAACGAATGACAAAGGCATTGATCGACTGACCTGTACTGTACAAAAGTCTTCTCAAAAAGATGAGATCACAGATTGGAGTCTGAAGAGTGTTCTTTTGTTGCGTTGGGTAAATTGCTTTGTTCTGCCCCTCCACTGGGTATGATGCTATCGAACGACAATTTGCATTGTTTGCATTGGATGATTAGTATCAGCACGTGAAGGAGGGGAGTCGAGGAAGTGCCAGCAGCACACCGCCCATGCCATCATCGCCGGCGGTGTCTTCCGGCAGTACGTCAGGCTTATTCACCAAACTGGGCCAATGAGCTCATTGTCCACGGTGTATGATCTCCTCCAGGCTCGTACCAAGGTACTACCTAGGTAGTAGCCATCCGCCTTCGGGCTCGACAAAAGGCGCATACAAAGAACTTCAATGGGTCAGGGCTGCTCTCGCGATGGCGGTTTAGGCTTTTAAGACTTCTTCTATATATGTCTTCTATGTTCGACTTTCACATTCTGGTCATATGTGATAAATATCTCATGCCCAGAACTTGGTTATTATATGATTTTGCCCCCGATTAAAAGAAAATGCCGCCGCCCTCATTACTCCAGCTTTGCACGGCAACTGCGATCAGGAACGTCAAATGTGGGTCGCGCCTGAGTCAACTTCGAGATATCTGATCGCTGATACTGGTGCTACCTAGATCTAAATGATATCGGAAACATCCCTTATGCCCTTGCTCGTCCGTTCCTCCTCAAGGTGGAGAGTCCGGAGAAACTGGTGAGTCGCGCGATCGCCGCTGGGCCATAGGAAGAAGGCTCTAGACTAACCGATCGCCCATGATCTTACAGAGAGCATTGGAAATCCAGTCGCCTCATCTCATGCGCGATGACGAAGAAATATGGCGTGAATTTATCGAGCGGGACATCCCAGAATCGCACAGGGACGCTGTGCCCGAGAAGTCAGATTGCTGGTATGACGTATATCGCGAGCTTCAGGAAGAAGTACAACGGGCAGTTGATGAGGATGCAGAGAAACTCAAGATGGCGCTGGATGGGATCAGCTCCGAGAGAGCCAAGCACAGTGCCAAATTCATTACGGACCGGCGCCTACCCGGTCAGAGGCCTACTGCGAAGCAGCGCTACGCTTCCTACGATCGGAAGATGGGCGGCATCAAACCAGTATTCACTCCCGCGAGGACTGGACTGGGCTCCTCAGATCCGTTAGGAGCGCCTGCCTGGCAATTCGAACGACCCTCCGTACCACGGGAGACAAAGAAGAAGAACAGCATTTTCACCGCCACGAAGCGCAATAGTGTGCTGGCCATCCCAACAAAGCAGCTCAACAACAGAGCTTCGCAGGTCAGACAGGCTCCACGGTCCTTGATTGAGGAACATCGGCGTCCTGCCGAGCCTCCCGTCCCCCGCCGACGAGATAACATGGCTCTAGCTATGAGGGCACCCGGACGGTCCCGGATGCAGAGTGCTGCGGTTTCTGCAGGCCAGAATAACCTAGCAGTCAACTCCACCCTCCGGGATAGGGAAGCTCGACTCCGGGCAATAGCCTCCGGACGACCAGCAGGCACTCTGGGGATTTCGCCTGCTTCAGAAACCACGGCGCGGACTGCACGCCCAGGAGTGGCGGCATCACCCTCTACGGTTTGTTTCCCTCTCTTTTCAATCCTGACTGATATTCTCTGTGCTAGGATCTTGACTGACTAGGCCACAGACAGATGCAGGTGACTCGACCGCGCCTGGAGCCCGTCCTCCTATGGTTCGGAAAAGACCTGCGCCCGCTAATCCTTTCCTCCAACCCAAGAAGAAAAGATTGAACTGACATATAAGTTGGTATATGATATTCGAATAATGATTTCTTCTTTGAGCCATATATAGACCGCTCTTAGACCTGGACCGTGCTGTCCTTTCCAATAATGGCTGGCATCCCGCATCCTTTTGACCGTCATTCTATTTGCCACTATTCTATTCCCATGATTTGCGTTTCTTCACCTTCCTCTTTTTTTTGGCCACCAGAGCGCACTTAGACATGGTTGGCTTCAGATTCATCAATGACCTTTTTCCATCTGCTGGTGGTGGTCATATCTAGAACGGGTTTTAGGGCGAACGGGCTTGAACTTATTCTCCGCACGAGGTCTATGAATTTAATATACTTTCTGCTACACTAAAGCCTGACCCACGTAGACATATACTTCTTCTTTCCCAGTCTTCTTTCCCAGCCAGGATACAACAGCAAACCTCGTCAACCACAGCCGCCATTCCCATACGGCCAAACCCCGCCCTTTCTCCAACCCATTGAAATCCGCGCCCGCACACCGCATACAAGCTGATGAGCGGTTTATTGTTGTATTGCTGCTAAACCACATTTCAACATCGCGCTAGGGTCCAAGGACGAAAGCGACATATACGCGACTCAACTCTATACGCCTGTGATGGAGCAAAGAAAAATCGGCCATGATGATGTTTCCATTCCAGGAAACCAGTTCCTGAAGCGTAGCAACGGGGTAGATGGGCATGATTATGGGTATGAGTCTGAGTATGAGTATTATGGTAACGGCAAAACTGTCGAGGGAGGGAACCGATTTATTAATTTCCCATGCACAACACAGCTACCAACCGGCATCTCTCTTTCCCTCCTTTCCTCTTAAGTCCCTGTCGCTTTTAAAAACCACCACGAAGCGCGAGGACCAGGTGTAGTGTGGCGCCACCTTCGAGGTTGTATTCTGCGGCGGTCTTGTCGTCGGCCCTGTTTTTTCGAAGCACGGGTGAGTTTTCTCTTTTTCCTCCGGGCTTGGAAAACATTCGGTTGAGGTAAAGGTTTGGGGGTTGGGAAAGGGCAGGCGTACATCTGCTTGCCACCGAAGATCAGTCGCTGCTGGACCGGGGGGATGCCCTCTTTCTCTTCGACGCGTTCTTTTATGCGGGAGACCTGCGGTGTGTTTGGAGATTGGTTAGCTGATGTTGTTGCTGTGGTGAGAGCTTCGAGAGAAATTCTTGTCGTGGGGTTGAGGGGCAGCCTGGGCTGATGGTTTGCTGCCTGCCTCGTTCGTCTTCTCCGTTACACGGCGACGCACGGAATCACAGACACGCCGAGGAGGGGAGGGGAGGTGGAGCAGAAGGTAAGCGACGTAAGGGAAGGAGGTAGGTAGGTAAGTACCTTGTAGTCGGGCTCGATATCGAGTTCGATCTCCTTGCCGGTGAGGGTACGGACTCTATATTGCAGTGGAAATGAGATGGTTAGCTGGTTTGGTTCATGACCGATGCCCCGACGACTTGGTGTTTTCCCCTCTGCGTCATGGGCTTGGGGGGTGGAGATGTCGGGGCCGGGCTGGACGGCGCGCCGCAGACTCACTCACTTGATCAACATTTTGAGAAGGTGGGACGGTCTATATGGTGAAGGATCGGGTAGTAGTTGAGGGTAGTTGCGATCGCGCAGCGCAAGAAGGCTTATGTCCGGGTATGCGAGATGAGTTGGGGTAGTGAGCAGTAATTAACATGGAGGAGGGTTGTTTCCGTGACGGAAAGCCGCGGCGGGGTCGCTTTCTGGTGGGGCATCGGACTTGGGAGGAGGCCCGGCGAGAGCAACAATAGTACTGGTATTCAATTGAATACCCACAAAGACCCAGGAGCTGTACAGGGATCCTGCTCTTAGTAGTGTCGAGGTGACACTCAATACGAGTAGTATATAAGAGCCATTCTGCTTGATGGATACTGGAATGACTATAACGGAGAGAGGATAGCTCGAGCATCTTATCGACAACCTTTGCCGGCCTTATGCTTGGGTTTATGGACGGTTATATAAAGCAACTAGCGGCACTGAGTGGCACCTAACTTAATGATCCCTATAGCTTCAACTCTTCGTAAGCACCAACGCACTCGCTATTTAGACTTGCCTTTCTTCTTCTTCTTCTTCTTCTTCTTCTTCTTCTATACTGGATCCACGAAAATGAGTACTACTGACCAAACATCCGATCCGTTCAATGAACTCATTGCGGAATGCCATAATGACCCGGTATTCACCCAGGAGGTTTCCATGGCTAGATCTTCGAACCAGGCACACTCATCCGTTGACAGACACGAATCCAAGCTCGCTACGAAGCCCATCGAACCAATCGAAACATCCAACAAAAGGAACGGCTGCTCGATCCCGGTTTCTCCGGTTGGCAGATCGACGATATTCTTGCACGCCTGCATGAACAAGCAAACAACGAACAAGGTAGCACTGCGACAGCACCGTTCATTGACCCCCGGCACAGCTTAACCATCCTCGCTCGTCCACCGCAGCATATTCGAGACCTAGTGGCTGAGATTCAAAGAGAGATCGGGGATGTTGCTCCAAGTTCGTGCACCCCCTCGGCCCTTTGGACTGACTCTGGGCCCAGTCGCCGAGTACGAACGCTGATTTGGACATGCAACAATGGCTAGGCCTCTGGTTTACACCTCCAGACTATCTACACATGACTACCTTGGAGATCGCTAGTTGCCGGACGGAACCAGAGATAGATGACCTGGTCACTCGTCTGCAGCGCAGTGGGATCATACCGCAGTTGACGCATTGCACCTTTCATCATCGCACACGGCTATTCAAGCCGCTGATTAGCTACGATGCGACGGCAATGGCTCTGAATTTCGTCCCTGAAACTGGTGGGGACATGATGGGCCATGTCCACGAGAAAGAATGCCACGATGATCAGTATACTTACCACCATCTACGAGGAGACGTCTCCGCGCAGATTGCGGCAATCGGGTTGCCGATGAAGCCCAGGTACATTGCTCCGTCAGCGCATATCACCATCGCACGATTCATCACTCGCGAAGGATTCTTGCTGGAGACGTCTGGTCCAGACGGAGTGGAACAGGTTGATACCGATCAAATTGCCTTACTGATTCGAAGGATTGAGTCAATAAATGAGAGGCTCCGGGCGGAATATTGGCCCCGTGAACGAGAGCCCATACCTCGGAAAGGTGAGTGGATCGTGGGAGAGGAGCGAGGGCTGGAAGTCTGTGTTGGGAGGTCATTCTATGGAGGCGGAGAGTGTGCCCATGTAGGGAAAGGCTTTTTGAGATACTAGGTAGAGACTCATGAAGTGGACTCCGATAGAGGTTGCCAACCTTCACTTTAAAGTCATCGGGGTAATTAGTTATGGTCTGTTTGATACCAAGGGTTGAAATGATAACAAAAGCGGAAGAGGGCCGATAGCTATAGTTGCCTGAGGCATTATGCAGTCAGTCTTGGCTGCTGACACACAAACGCGGTTAGGCCGCACCCTAAGCGAACGAAATCCCACAACCCACCGCACCGCCGCCAGCCCGACTTGATCCTCCCCGACAAGAGACTATCAACGACCACCAAGTTCGCGATCCGGCCAAATCAGTCAAAATGGTAAGGATATTGTCCCGTTGATTTCTCACCTTTGTTGCCGTGTTCCTGGGCGTCCGAGAATTTTTATTCGACAAATCGGCACATGTTGGAAGGGCGAGATGGCGAAATTCGATACTTCGCCGATGGATGGATTCCCAGCTACGAGCCCGTACGAATCGCCTGCGAACGACAGTTATGGCACCCCCAAAAAAGACGACAAAAATGGCCGACAGTGAAGACGAATTCGACATGGCAATTCCGAAGCGACGATTTGTGGTGTGAGGCGATCGAACGGAATACTTTGTGCGATCCGGACGAGAGTATCGGCCTGCAACAAGAAAAGAGATGTCAAAAAACTTTCGCTTTTGCCTGAACACAACGATCAATGCTCGATATCCCCCAGATTCAGTACCGCGCCACTCGCCGATGAACAATACGACGCAAGACACCCGGGAACACACTATACTTGCCGTCCAGTGACAAAATACATCTTCACCCGCAGAGGCTGATTCATTCTTCTCTCGAATTCAGGTCAACGTTCCGAAAACCCGCCGGACTTACTGCAAGGGCAAGGAGTGCAAGAAGCACACCCAGCACAAGGTCACCCAGTACAAGGCTGGCAAGGTGAATAGCACCACCCCGCCTCGCCTCTGAGGAACTCTTCGAACAACGAGCGGCGTACTGATGCAGAATTTGTGATCTCACTCTAGGCCTCCCTGTTCGCCCAGGGTAAGCGTCGTTATGATCGGAAGCAGAGCGGTTACGGTGGTCAGACCAAGCCCGTCTTCCACAAGAAGGCCAAGACCACCAAGAAGATCGTTCTCCGTCTCGAGTGCACTGCTTGCAAGCAGAAGAAGCAGCTCTCCCTGAAGCGCTGCAAGCACTTCGAGCTTGGGTATGTTCCGCCCGACTTCGCGCGACTTTTTCGGAGGATGCTAATCGATCTCGACCTACAGTGGTGACAAGAAGACCAAGGGTGCTGCTCTTGTCTTCTAAATTTGCGATTTTCTTGTTCGGCTCTGGGTTTCCTGCATTGCTAATCCGGCGGTGGCATATGACAATGGCAATGGAAAATGAAATAGGGTCCTCATATTCAAAAGAAAAAAAGAATATATGACTCCTAGTTGACGAGTCTCTTGACGAAATTACCCGTGTTGCTGATACCACGTAGTAGCATTTGTAGATCTCTGAGAGAACGATAATATGATATGGAACGGTCGATCGCAAACCCGTGCCTTCAAGCCTCGCAACCATCCGCACGATCTAATGGAACGAGACGGCTTACACTGCCAAAGGGAAGGTAGATAGCATTTCTACTCTGCATACGACTCATCCACAACCTAACACAACATAATACTACTTAGAAGACTTTCTTCTCCAACTAGTCGGACAAGCCGGCTAGATTGATGAAAAAAAAAGGGGGGGTTCGCGTCGATCGGGGGTAGTGTAAGCCCGATGACACTGTGCAGTCCGACATGCGCAAGCACAGAGGTCAGACTGCAGAGTACAAAAATAAGATTAATCAATGTTGTGTTCCTTAGAACACTTTCAGAGATTAAACTGAAAAGAACAGATACTACACTTGATCTAAGCCAAAAGGCAAAGAGAGCTGGAAAAGAAAAGAGAAAAAAATTCCAAAAGGGTGCCGGGCGGTTGCACCTTTTATAGGGAGACCCGGAGGCAAAAGGACGCTAGTGGTGCTAGCCTCGCTTGATTGACGCGCTAGACTAAACTCGGGGGGCATCTGGTTTGGGTTTAGCGGGGGATGCTTCGAGGTTGGCAGGTATAGTACGGAGGGAGTACTGTACTAACCTACATATATCATGGATACCATGAAAGTATTCTAGAATAGCTCGAGGCTAGTGAGGCTGGCTAACCCTGCTAGAATGCTGGTTCATATGTCCAGTGGAACTCGCTGAGAAAGGGTCCTTTATTGGCCTGGCCTGACATGCTGACTCTTTTCGCGTAAGCTGGCTATCAGATATATGTCGAAGAATTGAGAGCATAACTACTACTGAGTACGCGGAATACTATTCTGTCTACCACAATTATGAACCAGTTACCAAGCAGAACCATCCAGCCGAAGACGAGGCTAATCCAGTCACCCCCACGCCAGTCTATGCTGTCACGGGGGCGGGATGGGATCCCCCGCATTTCAAGGGATCTATCCCTCGGTCCACCCGCTACGTACTTCAATTGTCCATGCACTTATCTACGGATGTGACTTCATGACTTTCTTTGAGGCCGTCATCATTGTCATCAAACCTGCCCTTCACTTCTGCCATCGTATCATTCCGAACCCATCTCTGAAAGAAACAACAACAACAAAGCCTTTACCACGAGGCAAGATATGGAACATCACCTCTCGGGCCATCAACTACCGAACATCCAACTACAGACTATGCTTCCCGTCGAATGCGGGGAAACTGGCGGCATTGCGACTGGCATAATCGAAGTCTGATCTACAGAATACGGGGTACTCAAACTCTGGCCCGCTTCCCCAACTTCATACCCCGGATTGGTCGTCATTGCTCGGCCATCCTCCGAGTCGATGTTGATGTCGTACAACTGCACCCTCGGCTCATGGCCGTGCCGCTATATATCCGCACGCCCAGCGCCTTCACGCGTCACCTCTTCACCGTCAGGAAGAGTATGCATGATACTAGTCTTTCTTCGGCTTCAATCCCTCTTTCTGCTACAAGATGGCGGTCTGGTATGCTTTTGGTGTGGCAATATTTGCTGCCATCGGAACATTCTTGTTTGTAAGCCAGGCTCGTGTCGCGTCTGAGGGCTATTTCGTCGCTAATATAAGTCATCTCTAGGGGTTTGACACAGGCATCGCTACGACAAGTGAGAGACCCTAGTGCAGCGACCCTCCCACGACGACAGCTAACGACTCTTCAGCAATCGCCCATGAAAGCTGGATTGACTACATGAAACACCCGTCAAATGGCCTGACAGGAGCCGTAAGTCAGAAAGACCTTTTTTTTTCGGGCTTTTATATCTAATCCCGTGTAGGTTGTATCAGTGTACATCGCTGGCGAAGCAGTCGGCGCGCTCACTCAGACTGCAATCGGAGATAAACTCGGTCGACTTCGCTTTATGGAGATGTCGTGTGTTGTTGTCACCATCGGAACAGTCATCCAAACCGCGGCCGTGAATATTGGAATGTTCCTTGCTGGCCGCCTGCTGGCCGGGTATGCTGTTGGGTGAGTTGTACCCGGGCACGTGAACCAACAATCGAGGACGGAACTGATCATGGCGTTGGTAGCGGAATGGTTGCCACAGTCCCGATCTATCTCAGCGAGATATCATCCCCTCGTTATCGTGGCTTGATTGGGGGCATCTCAGGCTGCGGCATCGCATTCGGAACGATGGCTTCGAACTGGGTCGGATACGCCTGTAGCTATGCACCCTATGGTCAGGTCCAGTGGAGGGTCCCTCTGGCGATCCAAATCCCATGGGGCATCATCATGTTCGCCGGACTAGTCACCTTCATGCCCGACTCTCCACGCCACTTGATTCGAGTAGGTCAAATTGAGAAGGCGCGCAGCGAGTTCATCAGAGGCCGGCGGGATTTACGTCCGGACAAGGCTCATCAGGAGTTTTTGGAGATGGTCGCGCAAATTCAGTACGAGAAGGAGAGAGAGATAACCTCCTACAAAGATATCTTCCGCATGTTTCGACGACGCGCCTTAGTGTAGGTCCATGTGCAAGATACACAAGGGAGGCCTGACTCCACTGACTCGGTCGAATAGCTCGATTGCCGTGCAGACCATGACGAGTCTCACCGGCGTGAACGTCATCCAGGTATGTGTCTCACAAACCCGATGGAGATAAGATGCTAACAGAGCCCTAGTACTACCAAAGTGCGCGTTCTTGCCCGCCCATACCCCCCCTCCAATGACGAAGAATACTGATGGCTCTGATCCAGCAACACTCTACAAATCCCTCGGAATTGACTCACACACCATCTTAGCCCTAGCTGCTGTATACGGCACCGTCGCGTTTATAACTAATTGCCTCACCACCAAGTATCTCACAGATCAGTGGGGTCGTCGCAAGTATGTCTCCAGTCAACCCAACCCACAGAATCCCAGCCACACCAGAAACTAACCAAACAAAGTATGATCCTAGCCGGCCTCGCCGGAATCATCGTCATAGAGATATATGCCGCTGTCATGCAGCGAGAGTTCCAGAACACGGACAATAGAGTCGGGAAAGGCTTTGCCATCCTGGGAATCTACCTGTTCGTGGTGGTCTACTGTATGTCCGCAGAAGACACGCAACCCATATCCCCATATTCCAGATTACTAAGTGCCATAAACTTGCACAGATGGTATGCTCAACAGTACCACCTGGCTATACGGCGCCGAGGTTCTGCCCATTGCGCTTCGTAGCAAGATCATGGGACTGGCCGCAGCATCTCACTTTATAGTCAACGTCGCAAGTAGGATTGCCCCTCCCTCCTCATTCGCCACGAGAAGCACCTCCCCCCCAAAGCCCCGCAGAACATCTACTGACACCATTGTCCTTGTTTCATGACGCAGTCACCGAAGCCGGTCCCAGCGCCTTCGCGAACATCCACGAGAACTACTACTACGTCTTCGTGGCCTGCACTGTTTTCTTCTTGGTTATCGCCTATTTCTACTTCCCGTAAGTCTCTTCTCCACGAACTTGTTCTTCTACCTTCTTGTGAAGACAAAAGCAAAACAACAATACTGGAAAGTGATATGACTAACTCACTCGGAACGGGTGATAGGGAAACCAAACGCAAGACCCTGGAGGAGATTGCCGCGTCGTTTGGGGACAAGGTGGTCGCGGCCGGCGAGCAAGGCGAGGAGGATCCGGATGCGAAGCCCCATTCGCAGCGGGTGGAGGTTGTCTACGAAGGATAGGCTCAGAGAAAAGAAGTATCACTTTTCCGCCGCAACGCTTTCACGCTATTCAGAATATGCGCTTGTCTGTACCTACCGTTCGTCACCTAGAATTATTGGAGTCTTTCTCATCTGGCTCTTAGAAATTATCCTGATCATGTAGCAAACCAGCTGGATAGCCTATGTCCCGTGGAAGGGCTCTACAAAGTGAAGGAGAAGAAGAAACATGGTGCGGATATAGTACCGTCAGGCTTCAACTCCCACCAACCGGGCCGTTTATCCCTCGCATCAGCGACGCATCTTCTCTTCAAGACCACGCCATCCCCTGTCCATATTCCCTTCCTCAAGAAAGACAGACAGGCAGGAAACAAAGATCTGTATGGAAATGAAAAGCAAGCAAAAAGGGGCGTGTGCCCCCCTCCCCCCTTCCCCCCCCCTGCCCCCCGGCCGAGAGCGCCCCTCGTTCGGCTCCGAAGCTAGAGCTAGGTAACTTATGTCCGATATCACTACGAGGGAAACGAACACAAGAACGAAAAAAGGCTTCGTCTTCTATACCTGGGTACAAATTGACCTTCAACATTGTGATATGTATTGTGCTGTCGATGGGGATGGGAGGTGGGAGGTGGGGGCTAGGTACATGCCGTCCGTCCCGTCTACGGCAACCAGGGCTGGCGCTGGCGCTAGCTCGAGTTTACTCCTGACGATCATGTGGGTCAGGTGTACCGGTAGTCGTGTGTGCAATGATTCAATTCTTCCAACTACATGGGATGATGGGAATGTGAACAGGGAGGGGGGCTTGAAAGAAGGAAGACGGAAGACCCTGGCGACGGTCAGGGGTGGCTCTTCTGGCGTGGAGTTACTGTACTGTCCATACAGGTTACTGTGCACGGGATGGTGTGCGGAACACCATATTCAGGTAACAAGTAAGTGAACCTAAGTCAATCACTGCACACTGCAGACTCCGTACCTCTTCGTCTGTTCGAGTACTTGCTTCATAGGGTTATGGTTCATGCATGCCACCAGTTCAGGCAAATGATCAGATCGGCGGACCGTCAGGTGACGACAAGTGACCGCCCTCCTGCATACTCCATGGAAATCCTTTCGGCCGGACGTCGGACTTCATTGATATTCATCCAATCATTCATTCATTAACTACCGAGATTGTCATGATCATCACGTCGTTACTACATTAGTGGGAAAAGAAACATCAGGCACAACAAGGAAAGAAAGATAAGGTACAAGAACAAAACCACAAAAGTCAGTTAAACAAAGACACGGTTGATTCCCCTGAGCAGTGTCTCCAATCCGTCCGCCAAAGGATCATCGCCGGGTTGGGGTAAAAGGCGTCCCTGCGAGTCAAACCGGTCAGGCAAATCAATAGTAGAGTCGGAATCAGATTCCGCCCCATCTTTGCGGGACCGATCTTCAGACCGAGTACATGCAGCGAACGGCTCAGAGGACGAGTGGCGCCGGCGTGGAGTGCGGTTGCGCCCATGGCCATGTATCGATGCAATGGTAGAGTCACTATCATCCGTTTCGTATCCTGGGTCATGCTGTCCTTCATGTTCCGATTCAAGGTCAAAGGCAACCGATTTCGGCCTTGCCGGCTGGCTGGCGGCGCGGGGTCGTCGCTTTTTCGGGCGGGGGGTTCTCAGCGATGATCGTGCATCTAGACCTACATGCCATGTCAGCAAGGGCCCCTCTGTATGCAAGGCAGCCTTCCCTGAACGCACCATCTGATATGTGATCCTGGGCAACGGGGTGATGGGGAGTTTTCCATGCGGCACTCACATTCTCTTCTACCCTTCGGGGCCGAGGTGCATACGGGTCTGACTCAGGATGCGCAGGATGAGCATACGGCTGCGGTGGCACAGCGCCGGGTGGAGGCGGGTAATCGGCAGGGTTGTAAGGTGCTGGTTCCGTGCGAGGCGCGGAGCCAGGAGGTGGAGGAAAGTAATTGGTATTAGGGTAGTACTGATGATCGTCGATCGGCCGAGGGGCAGCAGGAGATGGCGGATACGGATCATGCTGGTACGGAGCTTCTTCATCTGGCTCATGATTGGTCAGCACTTGGAAACTTCAAGAGACTCAACCTTCGCTTACCCGATCTGTCTCGGTCTCGCTCTGTCTTCTTACGCTCATTACGCTGCGCAAGCTTGTGGGCTGCGTAACCGACTCCTGCAGCTCCTAAAGCGGCCTCGGCGAATTCCCGCGAGCGACTGCGATGCCGTTCGTGCCCGCCTCGTTGTCTTCTTCGGCTGTCACTTTCTGAGTCAGACGAATCACTACTGTAGCGAGCTGCCCGGCCTCGGCTGCGACTACGGCTGCGGCTATAAGGCCGGCGTCTTGTTGATCCGAAGCCTGCTGCGCCACTTGCAACCGGGTCAGATGCATCCGAGTAGTATCCATGTGAGCTCCCAGGCCGACCGTAATAGTTGGCAGGAATACTACCATGGACTGGGTGTTCTCCATACTCGATCAGACCAGGAGAGGACTTTGTTGGATCAGTGTAAACCTCTGAAGGGGCGCGGCTGCGAGATCGTGAGCGTCGACGTTCCCTGTTGCGCGAGGCTTCTCTCTTGTCCTTGTTCTTCTCATATAATCCAGTAGCCGCAGCTGTCCCAAGGCCGGCCGCTAGCACTGGCAGGGCTTTCCTGATTACGCTCTTGGACCGAGACCGATCACGTCGCCCTGGACGTGAGCGGCTCCGGGCCCTCTCGATCAGGCCTGCCACTGCTGCTCCAGCAAGGCCAGCCTCCGCCATGTGCTTTCTACTTTTGGACTGGCTGCGCTCCCCATCTTTGTTCAGCGGCAACGACCGTGTGGAGCTGGCAGCACGGCGGTGACGAGACCGGCTGCGTCTGTCCTTGTTGGAATTGGACTTGTTTCGTGCCAGGGCGACAGCCCCAGCAATAGCAGCGGCACCCAGGCCGAGTTCCGCGAGCGTCCGCGCGCGCGAGTGGGAGTGAGAGCGACTGCGACTTCGACGGCTGTGGCTATGACGATGATGGCGGTGATGACGGGAGTGTGATCTGTGATCGTCATCGAAAGAGTGGGAGCGATGACGACTCTTGCTGCGATAGTGCTCTCTTGCACGTGAGACTGCTTCAGCAGCGATGGCACCCAATGCACCGGCACCGACGTCCCGCCCCAGGCGACCAACTCCCTCGGGCACTTCTTCTCCTTCTTTCTTGTGATGGTTGCGAAGAAGTTCTGCGGCCCCGACACCTACTAGGGCACCCTCGGCTAGATGTCGCCGCCGATGGGGATGATCATCGTACTCCCGTGTTTCTTTGCGAATGTACACCATGCTCTCATCGCTGCTGTAGTCCTCTTCATCGCGACGGCGGGTAGCCTGCGAGACAGAGTCGCTGGGGCTCAGTTCGCGACGGGAGCGACGGTCTTCATCCCACTCGCGGACCCGACGATGATAGTAATAGCCTCCAGGCTCGCGATCCACTTCCGACCGCCGCACAATATCATAATCAGACTCTCGTGGATTGACGTAGACGGGGCCGCGTGCTTCAAGAAGGATTATTGGCTGAGTTTCACGAATGATAACGGGGGCGGGGTGACTGCGAATGCGCTCGGGCACATAATACTCACGTTCGTAATAGTCTCTTTCGGAGCGGTAGTCAAGTGGGCGCGAGTCGTAGTCCACCTCTCGTTCGTACCTCTGGATCATCACCGGCTCTTCTCGCTCATGAGTGCGCCGGATAACCAGCTCTCGGTCGGCCTGGTCCTCATGGCGATAGAAGAAATCACGCTCACGCTCACGCTCCTCCTCCGAGGGGATGACGTAACGCTTGATAGATACGGTCGAGCGGGGTTCATCCCAGTCCCGCTCGCGATCGCGTTCTCTGTAGACGTATGACATGAAGGATATAAGTCCAAATGTGTGAAGGTAATATTGAAGTGATGGAAAAAAACAAGTTTGTCTTATGCAAGAAAAGATGAAGAAGAGATGAGAGGCAGTTTTGAAGAAGAACGGGAAGATGGAGGGACTGCAGCGAAGTGGGGTAAGCGAGGCTGATGAGAGAGGCTGCCGAGTGTCAACAACCGACGGGCGTCGGCGGAAGGCTGTACGAAGGTTCAACTTGATTCGAGGACGAAACAAGGCAGGCGTACACCGTCGTCAGAAAGACGAAATAAGATGCAGGATAGTCAAAGATGACTGCTCCGAGTGAGAAAACGGGCACCAGAGGAGGGGTTAGTCCAATCCTCGCCAAAGATTAAGTATGCCGGGCCGCAGTGGTGATTTGCTGGGGCTTTCATTCATTCATTCATTCACTGATCATCTGTCATCTGCTCAGAGTGTTTTGATTTGCGTCAAGTGTAACACAATGTAGCATGCAGCATGTATGGAAGGAAATGTGGAACGTGGAAGGTGAAAGGTGAAAGGTGAAAGGACGCAATAAAGTCGATGAACGATGAACGATGAACGATGATGAAGTGGAGGAAGCACAGATAAAGCAAGCAAGAAAGAGGGAGGGGCAGATAGTGAAACCTGAGGCCGCGAGGGCTGGCAACTCAGGCAAACCAGGCAAACCAGGTGATCCCCACGTGAGGGACTGCTTCTTGCCTTGTGACAATTGCAACTTCCATCATCATCATCATCATCATCATCATAATCATCATCTTCTTCTTCTTCATCGTCCTCCATCGTCATCAACAACCCACTATCTTCTTTGATCTACGAGTATCTGCAAGTCTCACCAGAAGATTCAATCTGGTCTTGGTCCCTGCGGATTCATTATTCCCATGGAAATCAAAGCATGGTTATCCAGATCTTGCCCAACCATGGAATGACAGCCGTCATACCATCGGTTTCGGACAGCTTATGCAAACCTCTTCAACCTCTAATTTAGTAAACATCAAGTTTGAGGCCCCTCAGCTACTGCAGGGATCCACTGAAAAATTTTATCATTCAGCTAGGTTCTTCATACGCTAGTCGGATGCGTCAGTCTCATCCGCCTTAACCGTGTGTAAAGTACTGGAAACTTCTCCCGCGAGATCTGGAGTTGCCGAAGTCGGATCTCGGACACTGCGGTCTTCGGTGTGTTTCTTAAGCAGCCAAGCGGGTTGA